AAAGACGTTCGGAAAGGGTGTGGTGCAGACGATCGAGCAAGTGGGACAGAACGCGGGGGTATCGGTGACCATCGCAGCCTACTCCACTCCCCTTGGGAACAACATCAACAAGAAGGGCATCGACGTGGACATCCCCTCCACCTGCGAGGCCACGGACAAGGCCGTCCAGTGTCTACCCGAAGGAGTTTTATAGTGGCTTGATACCGATGCAACCTTAAAGTCAGAAACAATCTCTAGGTTTCACGCGATTTCAACAAAGTAAGGAATGTCAGTTTACTGTCTACATATTGTTGTACGGGAAAGGGTGTCAGGATTTCAAGACTGACAGGCACAATGACTTGCATTATTATTGATAAATTAGTATGGATAGTATGCGCCTAAAGCTTGACCATCATCTATGTTTTTTTTCGCCGTGCGTGACGCTACACAAGTGTTACCTGCTGCACGTGACGATGACGCATTTGAGTCACGCTCATATCGTGCCACGAGGCTTTTCAAAATGAAAAAGGCGATTTTGTGAAGCGCTTGTGTGTAGATACGAACGATAATTGCTGGAGAAAGAGCCAATTGAAGTACCCGTAAAGCATGCTCGTCTCCAAAGCGCAGATGGCGTCGAAAATAGGTGCAGGGTCCCCAAGGTTCACAATCCTATGTTGTAGAGTACCTTCAGCTGTCCGTAAAACGCTTCAGGTATGCCTATCAACCAATATCAGAAAGTGTCCGATTTACATTCCGAGTCAAATTGCTTTATTTGGGAACGCCAAGGGCAAGCGAGCAATCAATCAGGTAGTCGTGCTCCGCCCATCGCGCCATCACCATGTTTAAGATACCCGGTCCTACCCCGACTCCTCCCCACGACAGTGTGTTTTTAATAGAACTCCTGGGCTAACTAGTACTTTTCACATAATAACAAGAAAAACACAGCGCTAGTGATGGGCTCTTTCCCCAGTTTTACGGATGAGGACGGCTCAGCTCCAGTGAAAGCGCAAGATTAGCCTTCTCAGCGGCCGAGTTGCACATGGCCCGGCAAAGCAGAATACGCTCCCCTAACCATACCATCTCCGCGCTTACACTCCGCCACGTTGCCGTCCTTCTGTTTCTTCTAAGTAGACAAATAAATGCTTTCTTGCCGGGCCATGTCCTTTTCCGCCCGCCCTCCAGCTTCCATATTCCTGTCGTGTCTTCTCGTCCAAGCACCCCTGTAGAGACCCCCGCCCAACGTGTTCAGCATGCTCTCGCACCTGAAGACATCCTCTCCAATGCTGTGATGAACATGAAATATCTGAAAGCTGGTCACCTTGCCACTGCCGTGCTTCGCATCGGTAAGGGATTGCTCCAACCGAAGGAAGCTACTCGACGCAAAGATTTAAGGGAAAGCCAGGGTTTTCAGACCCTTCTACCTCAGACCTTGGATTTGATTTCTACAACTAGCGCCAGCACCGTGCACATTTTGGATTTTCTTCTAGGATTAGCCTTGCTTGATTATCCACTTTGCAGTGAATTTCCCACCAGGCATCGCGTCGAGCAATTATACCAGAGCATTCTGGCAGCACGCGCAAATGAGCTATCTCCGGGAGATATTTCCAGTTTAGTATGGTGCTGGCGGAAATTTCATCTTGATGTTGAGCGTCTCCCTCCTCATTTCATAGAGGTGACATCCGCGTTACCATTTCGTGTCTTGATCGGTGCGCTCTCCGGGGGGGACGGTGCAAGTGAGTCGGCGGAGCTCTTGGATTTAGCTGCCCTACGAGCAGAAATAGATCTGCAGCGAGATACCATCCAATTGTCTCCACATAAAACTGTCGACGAATCCCGTCTTACCGCATGGCAGGGCACTCAGCCTTTCTTCTACAGCGGCAAAGAGATGCCCGCCCGGGAGATGACCGCGCGCGTGGCCCGCATTCGAGACCGGCTGGCGGTTGTGACGGGGGTGTATTATGATTGCGTGCTAATCAACCTGTACGAGACAGGGAAGGTCGGCATGCGCTACCATGTGGATCCGGATCAAGGTGAGAGCATGGGTCATACCTCGGTGTATGTCCTCGCGCGTGCCTGTGTATACCTGATAGAGTCTCGACAAGGACCTGTGCAGGGGTTCCTTTACCATGTCATAAACGGCCATCTCTCTCTATATACATGAACTAACCACCGATGTTCTTTACCTTTTGTTACATATATATAGTCATGAACTAACCACCGATATTCTTGACGTTTTCTTGATCATAATGGAAAGGGATCTATTTCTCCACAAACACGGTAGTAGTAAGCGTGGGCGACACCAGAGAATTTTGCCTACGGTCGATAGCAGAGGAGGTAGAAGAAGAGGTGGGCCCGAAGGGAATTAGAGGCGAGGGAGAAAAGGGCAGCGCAGGTGCTGACAAATCGCACAGAAAAAGCCAGGACAGGTCGGCAAGTGCGAAAACGGTAGAGGGAAGGAAGGGAAAGAGGGCCACCCATCATCGCTTCTTTGTTGCGCAAAGTGACGCTGTAGAGATGACTCGTGAGTGCCAGTGGCGCTATCAACACGCTGTCAAAGTCTGCGAGCATGCGGAGGACGCCGGTGCGCGCATGAGTTTGGTGTTCAAGCAAACTTTGGACGGAGCGACCCAGGACGAGCGGTATTGGATTGCCACCTACTTGTCCATGAAAGACGAGGGAAAGCGTACAGCAGGAAGCATCTAATCATACAATGATAGTCTCAGTACAACTATCAGTCGGTAGATGAAATACTTGTACGTCATGAATTGTAGAGGTAGGTTAACGCAAATTTTCTGTACTTGTTTGTCTTGTGACGAGTTGCTGGCGTCGTTAAGAACCCCAAAGAAATTACAGCCCTTTGCACGGAATTGGCAAATGATGCTGTTCCTCGGGACTCTCAAACATCACTCTCAAGGCACTGAGGTTAACTCGTTCTAAACAGAGGCCCTCTCTTCGCAATATGCCTTTTCACGACCTGCCGAAGAAAATCACATCCGACTCTGACATTTAAAGCACATCTACGCTTCAATTCTGCACCATGAATTCAAGCTAAGCCTACTTTTTGCAACACTTCCGCCATCTCTCTCGCATGCTCTTCTTTAAGTCTCTCCTCCAACTCCCTTCTTTGTTCGTCCATCGCAACCTCTGTCAGCACCCTCACTTTCTCCTTCTCCTCTTGTAAATGATTTTCAAATTCGGCCGACATCTCGCATTGCATCTGTTCAAGGGCCGTTTTAAGCCTCTTTTCCATCTCATCATTCAAGGCGCGGTGTCTTTCTTGCTCACACTCTTGCTTCGCTGCTGCCAAGGCCGTTGAAAGCTGTTTCTGCAGCATTGCTTGATTTAAGGACCCTATTACCTCCTGCACGAGCCCCTCTGGCTCTAATCCTAGTCTGCTTCTCCTCCCCCCTCTGTCCGGTGCACCGACCATCACATCTACTAGATCTTCTACAACACGTTGCTTGAGATTACCAAGTGTCGATGATCGTGTATTTTTCTTTCTCAATGGAGGGAGGAAGTCGCCATTAGACTCTGAAGTGGTCATTGGGCTAGCGAGTCTCTTCGTGGAAAGGGGATTAAGGGAGGAGAGTGTGTAGTCGGTCATATCAGTCTCCCGTTCGGACACGTCGACTCCGGCCAACGCAGAGTCCCGGCCATCTAATTCGTTTTCCTCACTATCATACGTATCCATCTTTTCACTTCCAATCTCCTCGAATTCTTCTGCTTCATTATCAAAAAGCAAGAAACTGTGCTTTCTTCCCTTTGTATTTGTGTCTCCATGCAGATAAAAGTGCTCCATCGCGTGCTCATACTCGCTAACAACTTTCTGCAATGCTACCGGTTTCAAGCTTGCAATTTCATTTTGGACCCAAACCTGTGAAAATATGGAAATCGATACGATGGAGAATAAGAAAAGAAGGCGTACAGTAATCATAATACGTGTATTGAATAGTTCTGCACAATAAAATCCGGCTGGCTTTGCAGACACTTGAACCTTTACATACCTGCATTTCCTCCACTCGTTTTTCAATCACTGCAATCTCTTCTGTCAGTTCCTGCTCGTGTTCCTTCTTGAGTGCATCATTTAAAAGAAGGCGGTCTCGGCGAGCTTGACGTGCTACAGCTTTCATTGCGTCAGCTTTAATCATTTCAAGCTCGCACAGCTCTACCTCTGGATCGAATAGAAGTGCGGAAAGAACCGTGTAGTGGTATCGCTTCCTGGCAGGAGACAAAGAATCGAAATGATTCTCCCAGGCTTCGTCAGAAGTTAAACTCATGGCTGCAAGAAGGTAAACGGAAGGATAAAGAAGAGTCAATGACACAGGTAAAGACCGCTTTGCGCACGGAAAAAAAGTGAAAAAGCTTTAAACTGAATACATGAATACAATAGGGAGTCGTGTAAAGTACCACATAATAGAAAGCAGAAGGAGAAGACAGAGAAGGTCTAGGAACGAGATGAGAGCGGTGGAAGGAGAAAGAGGAGGAGGAGGAGGAGGAGGAGGAGGAGGAGGAAGCGGAGGAGGAGGGAAGGTACAGTAATGAAGAATTGAATATGTGATTATAGGACTAAATATAGACAAATCCTTATTTATTAAATTTATTCCATACGAAAAATCGTATGAGCCCTTCTTTTTGTACATTTAACATGAAAGTCGCTTTCATCGTCGTGTTGGCTTCAGGGGAGCCAGCGATGAAGGATTGAGGCGGTAAGATTTTTACCAGCCACGTCCATGGATTTTCCGTACAAATTCGACCAAATGCTCAGTAAAACGTTTTTTTATGAGGATATGTTTATGAATAAATGAAAATCGCCCCTCGAACTCTGGAATGAAGCGCCTTTTGCGAGGTTACGGTATACCTACGTCAAAGAACAGCCGTGACGACACGGCGGGGTCTTGGCCGAGAGAATGCGAGGGTACAGGACTTGCGGGGGTTCTAACGGCGCAGACGCAAGATGCGGGCAATAGCAAAGCTACAGGGTACAAGGATGAGTGCTATATTAGTTTTACATGTTTGCTATCACACATAGGCCGGTCGTTCAAAACAGGATGCATTGTGTGGTTATTTGCGGGCATCCAATCGCCAGGACCTGACCGTCAGACCTCAAGAAAAAGAATCAAGCAAGATTACACAAGAGATTGGACCATCGTGCCCGTTGGATGCGCTGCCCTGGCCCTTCCTTCAGACAAGCAGCGAAAGTGCAAGAAAATAAACCATGGGAACAGAAAATATGAATTTCCCGCTGTCCTCGGACAATAGGTCGTGCCCGCCGTGGTCGATTCCAGTCCCAGACGCCCGCCGCCGACGCCCTGCTCCCGGTAGCTATCTTCCCAATCAACTCACATGGCATATACGCTCTTTCAAAGTGGGAAGCCAGCGGTGTTGGCCGTGGACCAAAAGGAGTATTCAAAGGAAAAGTATTCTGACGGACGTGGCAGGCCAAAGCGTTGGGGGGGAGATAACAGCTATTATGGGGGCCTCGGGCGCGGGGAAAACTACGTTGCTCGAATGTCTGGCTTTGCGTTCCCGACAATTCAAGGGAAGGGTGACTTGGAATGGAGAGGCTGTCCGGGGAGACTACTTTACAGCCTCGGCGTTGGTTCACCAGCGGGAGGTTCTCTGTGGGTTCCTGACAGTGGAGGAGCATCTCTTGTTCCACGGGACGGCTCGAATGTCGGATAGGTTTAGCCCGAAAGAAATCGAGGCAAGAGTTCGAAATGTTATAGAGGACGTGGGTTTAAGTAAGTGTCGGAAGACGCTGGTGGGAGGCCCGGGAGCGCCGCAGAACAAGAAGGGGCTGTCTGGGGGGGAGCGGAAACGCCTGACGATCGCTACGGAGCTCTTGCTTTGCCCGCAAGCGATCTTTCTTGACGAGCCAACGACCTCGCTTGACTCTGTGATGGCGGGGCACGTGGTGGCCCTTCTCCGTCAGCTGGCGCTCTCCCGGCGGATCCTGGTAATGGCGACGATCCACGCCCCCTCCTCCCAGATCTTCAGCCTCTTCTCGCACGTCTTGCTCCTGACCAACGACGGCCGCCTCGCTTTCCATGGGACGATCTCAAATGCTCTGCTTTATGCCAGCAGCTGTCTGAAGCGGCCCTTGCCCGACGCCTACAATCCTGCCGACCATCTGGTGCGGCTGGTCGTCTCGAAGCCGGGGGGAGGGGCCTCGGCGAGGGAGGAGCGGAGGAAAGAGAACGACTGGCTCGTCCAGTCGTTCGCGGCATCGGCTTACGGGGACCCTGAGCTGCCAGAGCGCGGGAGTCATCGAGACAAAGCCTGTGAGGAGAACAGCCATCGGAGTTTGCGGGGGGTCCAGGGACAGCACGCCTCGGCGTGGACCCTCTTCCGCCTCAACCTCCGGCGCGGCCTCCTGCAGACGTCCAGGAACAGCCTGAGCTTCTGGCTGTACGGGATGGTCATGGGCGTGATAGGGCTTTGTTTCGGCACCCTCTACTTCCAGCAGGCCGCCTCCAGCTGGCGCAACCTGGTCGGCCTCCTCTACGCCCTGGTCGTTGCCTTGCTCTACATGTGCCCCCTCACCGTCATCCTCCGCGCGCCTCTGGACTGGCCCCTTCTGCTCCGGGAATACTTCGCGGGCGCCAACGCCGCAGGCCCATACCTGCTGGCCAAGATCCTCTACGAGCTCCCCTTCGCGTACGGACCGCTCCTCCTCGTCGCCTTCCTCTACTGGATGACGGGCCTCACGCCCTCCCTCGCGGCCTTCCTCCAATTCGCAGGCGTGGTGGCCCTGACGACCCAGGCCTCCTGCGCCATGGCCCTCATGGTCGGCTCCCTCTCGGCGAATCCGATGCTCACACTCGGCATCCTCCCCGCCTTCATCACCCCCATGGTGCTCTTCTCCGGCTTCCTCTACGACACCGCCACTCTCCCTTCCTACCTGGCTTGGCTTCCGAAGATCTCCATCGTCAATTACGGATTTGCGGCCCTGATAACGCTGCAGCAATCCCTGCTTCCCGCGGAGTTGCGAGGAGTGGCGTTGAAGTTCGTGAATGTGGACCCCGAGGCCTTGGGAGCTAACTTGTTAATGCTTACGGGGATGACGGTGATATTTTACGCCCTCACTTACATGTTCTTGACGCTGCGGCTACGAACGGCTATGCGCGCCTGAGCTTAGAGGGTAGGCTGGTGCCGGTGGGATGCTGTGCAGACAATGGCATGGAAATCCTCGGGAAGCCGTCGTGGTAGGCTGGGGGCGAAGGATGTACATGAGGCGGCTCATTGATGAGGGAAGCGACGGCGGCTTACAGGGTGGAGGGATGGGACAAGAATAGAAATAAGGGAAAGTAATTGCATAACCCGGTCTCCGACTCATTAACTGGAATGCAGCGGGGGCTGTTACCATCCACCGCCGACGCCAATGAGCGAGTCCGCTTTCAGCCGGCACGCATTATCTGTTTGCTTCTTTTCTTTTCTGGAGCCATCTCGTCATTCCTAGCTCTCTCATGAGGCACTTCCTCCAATCTCTCCCTCAGGCGCTCAGGCGGACTAGCAAACCGCCTCATCTTAACGCACTTTGTTACATCGACTACTCTCCTCCTCCTTCCCTCGCTCTTTTTCTTTTACATCGAGTGTGTTCGCACGCCAACCTTTTCCCCCTCTCCTTGAAAAGAACTCTCCACACGCGCGGCCTCCTCTCACAGTATATATGCCATCGCGTAAGCCCATTGATTACAATTCTATTGGTCTCTTCCTTTCGCTACACGTGCGCGAAAGACATAATTGAAGTTTATAAATATACCTCTGGTAAGTTCAATCTAAATGCAAAGCTAAATGCCAAATCATTGTCCTTTTCTCTATGTCTCACTCGACGAATAGCGCCACACCAACTTGGCATGACCCTTTGAGAGCAACCTCAATGCGAGACTCACGGGAATCGACGTGAGTGTCAGCAGACAAATGATCCCGAGGGACTCCTCCTCTTGAGCCGAACGCCTTCCCGCACGCTCATTTTTCTCGTCGATTCGCCTCCTCACTCTTCTTACATCGCATCTTCTCCCTTCTCAAACCTCGTTCTCAAGGTAGCGCTCCATACGCCTCTCTCCCCCTCCCGCCCCTCCTTCTTCCCCTCCACTGGCGACCCCGCAGCGCATCGAGTCCTCCGCCACCGGGCCTAGTAAAGCCCCCCTCGGAGCGACTCCAGCTCCGCCTGAGGGCTAAAACGCCGGATCCCCTCCGTGATCTGATTGCGGAAACGGTTGATCTCGGCGTCCCTGAGAGACTGTTGGGCTGCGTGCTCCCTGTCCTCTTCTTCCTCCTGCTCCCGCCGTCGCTGCGCCCCCGCGTTGCTGCTCCGGCTCATGTCCATGTTGCGGCCGTCATTGGAAGGAGAGAATGCACGCGAGGCGGTCGTATCGCTCTCTTCCGACGCTCGAGGGGTCCTGCCCTGGACGTCGTTTAGGCTCATTTTCAAGGAGCCGATCTCCCGCTGCACGTAGGACCGCAAAGCGTCGACTTCCTGCTGGGCGGGCGCCGCCGAGGCCGCGGTGGAGCCCTGGACATGCAGGCGAAGGGCGTCGATCTGCTGCTGGAAGTGCGCGCGCAGGGCCTCGATCTCCTGCTCCGGAGGCACGTAGTCGATGTCCTGCTTCTCCCCGCCCATCTTGCTGCGGAAGCCGTCCCGCGTGCCGGGCGCCAGGCCCTTGCGCCCGGGGGTCTGGGAGGGCCCGCCCTTGGGCGTGCGGGGTGTGTGGGGTGTCGGGGGGTAGAAGAGGTGGGGCTGCATGTCGGGGTCGGCGTAGACGAGGTTGTACTGCTGGGAAAAGTTCTGGCCGATGATGGTGATGGGCAGGGCCAGGGAGAGGAGACCGCAGTAGGCGATGAAGCAGGAGGCAATGCGCCCGCCTGTGGTGGTCGGGTATAGGTTGGCATTCCCTAGCGTGGTGGTGTTGACGACGTACCAGTAGACCCCTGTGAAAATCGACTGGAAGGGCGATTGCTCCAGAGCGGTGTTACGGTCATTGGGCCGGAGGAAGCCCCCGGCGGGAAATTCCATCGTTACCGAATAGATACCTCCCTCAAAGTAGAACATCATGGAACCGAAGACGATGGCCAGGACCGTGGTCAGAAAGACGAAGATGAGGAGGGCGGGCAGAGAGGCGCGGAGGGTGCGGGAGATGATGGCGCCCGCTTCCCGGAATCGCCGGCCGAGCTTGAAGATGAGAAGGAAGCGGAGGAAGCGAAAGACGCGAATGGCGGGGTAGGGGGCGAGGAGGTAGACGTAGAAGGGGACGATGGAGATGACGTCGATGATGTTCAGGCCCGAGAGCATGTACTTGGTTGTCTTCTTGCAGGGGTCCATCCGGTAGTAGTTGGAGCGGTCCTTCAGGCGCCCGTCGATCGTGTACTCAAGAGACCGGGGGAAGACCAGGTCCACGGGGACCGCAGGGACGCAAAAGACACGAAGCAGATAGTCGATCGTGAATATGACGATGGTCCAGAGCTCCAAATGCCAAATGATACGATTCTCCCGCGGACGGCAAACCACCTCTGTGCAAAAGGTGGTGGGGCCCGGCTCACAGACGGGATCGGCGCACGTCGTAGGGTGCCGCAGCGTTGAGGGAATTGTGCCGACCATGAAAGAGATGGCATTAAGAAGGATGCAGGCGACCAAAAAGATAGAAATGTACCAGGCCAGCCGGCTGGAGCGGGGGTGCTCCAAAGTGACGAAGATCAAGACCCGTAAGGCGTTCAACTGGTCCGAGAAGGTGCTATCAGAGTATGACAACACTTGCTTCGCTTCGCGGACAATCTTTCGAGATTGCTTTTCTTCAGTACGATGGGCATCGGACACCGTCAATGTGGGCTTGTATGTATCCGGTGGGGTCGCCGTGTCGTCGTGATAATTCATGTTGACGAGCCGGCTTCAACCACGGGAAAGGCACGAAATGAAAGTCTCTACAGGAAAGGCCACCGATGCCTAGAAATATGTCATGAAATTTGCTTGTCACGTAAGTAAACGGATAGGTGAAAGATCATGCAGTGTGGCATGACCTGTAGTAAGCTTTTGCTGAGCGTCACTGATAAAGCTCGTTGGCCTGCTTTGACAACTCAACCATCGAAATGGCCGTGGCCCTCCTTATAAGGCGCTGTCATCGACCTTAAAATTCTGACAAAAAGTGAGGCGACCTCTAATACAGTATACCCGGGCATAAGTGTCCCCATGGCAGGCGAATGTTTGAGTGGCATAAACGTGCTTGTTGAACAATGGAAAAGCTTGCGTACTCGCTCGTGGCGCGCATGCAAGAGAGGGAAAGGCGATGACCTGGATGCTCTTCCTTTCACTCCCTGCCCCGGTGATTGCAGGCCCGGCACAGCACGATTCGTGCCCAGTGAGATGGTTTGGAACGTGCATGCGCACCTCCTCAACCTCATACGTCGAGTACGCTCGTATGTGTTTGGTTTATGGCGCTAAGTGACCTCGTAAAAAGTATCTTCGCCCTGCCCCGGGCCACACGAGCCTCGAGCAGGAGGTCGATGATCTACAACAGACAGTATTTGCACTTTTCATCACCCGCCCATGATCCAACATTCTGTGAAGCCACGTAAAAACATGTTGTGAGGTGTTACAAAACCTTTTGTACAACCACTATGCAAAAAAGGCGATGGTGGACATCCTTTTTGGAGGCTCGGTTTGCGCCGGCGTTTTTTTGGTTTCTTTTCTGTTCTGTTGCCCGAAAATTTGGCCATAAACCCACTTGCAACCATCTCCGCGAGGAAATCTTTCGGGTATACTTTTAAGTATGAGCGTATGTTGCACATGTGATGCTCAATTTTACAGCCATGTACCTATCCTATTGCGAGTTTAAGTCATACCCATTTTTGCCCTCCCACATGCAGCATCATGCACGGCCCACCTTCAGGTCGTGCTTGCCTCTGCCTCGTTGTTCTTTACTTGATAGGAACCTCTTTGGCCATCCCTGACGCTCCCTTTCCAGGGGCACCAGCTGAGAGTGCTCCAAGTACTGGCACAAGCACGTCTAATATTCGTGGGGCTCCTTTTCAGTCATCGCAAACCTCACCCCAAGACGTCGGTTGGACCTGGCCGTCTTGGGGAGACCCTTGGGGCACCGGAGGAAGCACCGCACAACCAACGTCCATCAACTACTCAAATTATACACGCCAGCATGGTACGTCTACGACGTCGGCCAGCGAATTTCCGGCTTGCTCCATCCAGGCCGCCTTGAACGAGGATGGTCTAATCTGCCTGGCGGGCTCCTTGTGGCTGGCCTTGACTCAAACCCTGCCTCCACAACTGGGCTGGGGATCGAAAATCCGCCCCCCCGTCGATCCGCTGAGGGAGCTTCCACAACCTCTTGAAGTCCTGAGCATGCCTCTGCCCGCCCTGGTGCCCACGGAGAAGGTAGAGGCCGAGAAGCCCACCTACTACTTCCTTTACCGGGCTATCCAGAACCTCTACGCCGCTGTAGGCGCGAACGCTCGAAGTCGAGGCACCGACTCGGCGCAGGAGCCTATGCTGAACTTGGCCCTGCCTCCCGCGTGGACGAATCAACGGGAGTACACGCTGCGATGGACCGGGAGCCTGGTCGCCGGCGTGTTGCAACCGCAGGCCCCCTTCGCCGTGAGCTTTACCCGCGACAAGGAGATGCTGGTGGTGGTACGTGGAACGATTTACAGCGCGGAGTGGCAGCGAAATTTCCAGTACCAACACGCCGACCCCACGGAGACGGCTGCGTACAGGATGCCGGGAGGCGTGCACGCGGGCTTCTTCGCCGTCTTCAAGGACCTAGCCGAGGCCCTGGTCGACGACGAGATCAAGAGACAGGCACCCAGTAAAGTCACATTCACCGGACACTCCCTCGGGGGCTCCGTGGGCGCCCTCCTAGCCTTCTACACGACCCACGTCCTCCCCCGGACCCAGGTCGAGCTGGTGAGCTTCGGCGCCCCCAACGTGGGCGACGCGACGTTCTCGTCGGCCTTCAATGCACGGGTCCGCAACCGGCATTTGGCCTTTTCGGGCGTGGGCAGTGAGGGAGACTCGTATTTCATCGGGGACTGGATCAGCCAAGTGCCGTGCGGGGCCGTCACGACCTGTCCGCTCCTCACGGAAATGAGCTCCGTCGACCTGAATGGCTCGCCTAGCGGGCAAAGACAGGCAAACGAATCCTATTCTTACACGGCACTAGGTGGTTCTGTGCCTTTTACACCGGCCCAGATGCAGAATGGTCGGACTTGGGCACTCCGATCCGACGTGGCGGGCTTCCGTTACTCCCCCGTGGCGGCCCATACATGCAGCTACATGTGCTTCACGGCGCCGTCGGTGGGGGATGCTTATGATCAATGCGTCTTC